GTTGCTGCAGCAGAGAAGCTGTGGGGATCTGCCCTTGCTGCTCTGCTGCTGCTGCTGTTGCTGCTGTTGCTGCAGCAGCAGCAGCAGCAGCAGCAGCACCGGAGTTGTGACGGCGACGCCTCTCTAGGCGTCTGTAGTCCCGTGGCGTTGCTGCTGTTGTTGCTGTTGCTGCTGCTGCTGCTGCTGCTGCTGCATACATCTCCTGCTGCTGCGGAGATACCGCTCCCGCTGGTGCTGCAGCAGCAGCAGCAGCAGCAGCAGCAACAGCAGAAGACGAACGACCCCTCTTGCGTTCTTTGTGTCGCCTCTTCCTGTCTCGATGCTGCTGCAGCAACTGCTGCTGCTGCAACAGCTGCTGCTGCTGCAGCTGCTGCTGGGCTTGGGCCTGCTGCTGCTGCTGCTGCTGCTGCTGTTGGTGCTGCAGCGGCAACGCGAACTGCTGTTGTGGCTGCTGCTGCTGCTGCTGCTGCTGCTGCAGCTGCTGCCACGGCGCAACAGCAGCGCCCCTTTGTCGCTGCTGCTGCTGCTGCTGCTGCTGCAGCTGCAGTTGTTGCTGTTGCTGCATTTGCATGAGCAGTTGCTGTTGCTGCATTGGCATCTGCTGTTGCTGCTGCTGCTGTGGTTGCTGCTGCTGCTGCTGCTGCTGCTGCTGCTGAGCAGCATCAACAGGCAGCGGCAGCAGCTGGCTAGCAGCACGCCACGCCGATGGCTTTCTGGTTGGGTCTCGGTGGCTGCGGTGTCTGTGCAGTCTCCTATGATGCCTGTGCTGCTGCTGCTGCTGCTGCTGCTGCTGCTGCTGCTGCAGTTGCTGCTGCTGCAGTTGCTGCTGCTGCATCTGCTGTTGACTGCTGTCGCCTTGATTGGGTATTGCTGCTGCTGCTGTGATCTGCTGCTGCTGCTGTATCTGCTGCTCCTGCTGCTGGTGCATGCGTGCAGCAGCTGCTGCTGCTGCTGCAGCAGCAGCAGCTTGTTGATGTGCAACAGCAGCAGCAGCAGCAGCAGCAGCAGCAACAGCAGCAGCATCAGTAACAAGTGGAGGTTTCCTTAATCTATGTATTTTCATATTATGATAGTAATGAAAGTACTGATTGTTATACATGCTGCTGCTGCTGCTGCTGCTGCTGTTGTTGCTGCAGCGGTGTCTGCTGCTGCTGCTGCTGCTGCTGCTGCGCCGCGCATGCAGCACCACTGGTGTGCCGTCCTGTCTCCTCAACCCAAACCACAAGTCTGATGGGTTTAAGCATAAATTTATTTTTTTATTGTCTCCTCTGCATCGGTGATCTACTGTCCCCTTTGTAGATACCTCGCTGCTGCACTGGCTCGCGCAGCTGCTGCTGCTGCTGCCGTCATCTCCTGCTGCTCCTCCTGCTGCTGCTGCTGCTGCTGCTGCTGCTGCTGTTGGTGGTGGTGGTGTTGGTTGCGGTGGGGTTGTTGTTCTTATACCCTCAGCACGCTGAAACGCAGACAAACGATGATGCTCGTTGCTGCTGCTGTTTCCTCCTGCTGCTGCTGCTGCTGCTGCTGCTGCTGCTGCTCTCCATGTCTCTGCTTTCTCCTTTACTAACCAAAAAAAAGATAAAGATGAACTGCCACCGCCTGCTGCTGCTGCTGCTGCTGCTGCACCATCTGCTGCTGCTGCTCCTCCTGCCGTCTCAACAACTCCTGCAGCAATACAAAACAAACAACACACGCATCATCACCTGGATTCATATGCTGCTGCTGCTGCTGCTGCTGCTGCTGCTGCTGTTGCTGCTGCAGCAGCAGCAGCAGATTCAGCAACGGATGCAGCAGCAGCAACAAGAAAAAAACAACAGCAAATCTGCATTTTCTTCAGCAGCAAACGCAGCAATATATCTGCTGCTGCAGCTGCAGCAGCAGCAGCAACACCTGCTGCTGCTGCAGCAGCAACAACACCTGCTGCTGCTGCTGCTGCTGCTGCTGCTGCAACAGCAGCAAAATGCATGCACAAAGGCCGTACTGGTTGTTCGCGTCTCTAGCTGCATAAGAACTTCTGATGTCAG